GTCCTCTGAAGAGTGCTCCAGGTTTTGTTTGCAGGTAAAGTTTTACAAACTGCTATGACTTATAAAGCCCTAAATATTTTGAGTACTGACCTGCCCGCAAGCTGTCCTTATCGCCAAGTGATGCTCTTTAGAACCTGAAAGCTCCTAAGAAAACACAGTTTAAGAAGACATTTATGGTGGGCTGTTTTGGATCCTCTGGTACCCCCGCTAAGGCTGGCTCCTCGAGGTATAATCTCAAGGCTACACCCAAGCGAGTCACAATTACAGGCTCTTCGATGTAACGAGCGCTACGTGTTGCTGCCTAGACGGCTCGCACCTCTTTGTGCCCGAGTATCTCTGCCTTTGGACAGAGACATCTCTCCAAGCTCAGCTTCAAAAGTTTCTCTGTATATTTACAGAGAAAAGATCGTAGGTCTAGTTTACAAAACCCCCATGTTTGAATAAACATGATTACCTTTTTTATGCTAGTTGAGTTAAATGGGTAAGACTCGAGGTGTAATCAGACGCTTTGCTACCCCGCTGGCCAGATCGAGCCCTATGCTGGTATAGGAATGAATGTTCCCGGGCGGACCGGAATGACCGAATTTATTAGCATGCAGTCAGCACATCCTGGTGACAGAGACCCCGAGTTTCTCTTTGAGCCTGGAAGAAAGGAGCCAGGCCATTCGCTGCGGCGGAAAACGGGCACGACCGGAGTTGCAGAGCTCTTGTTCCCTGCTGCTGGCCCTGCTGAAGGGAGGTGAGCCACCGATATTTGAAGAGTAAGCAACTTGGACCATAGCAGAGGCACTGCGTATGAGAAGCAACGGCTTTGGCGTATATTATTTTAGCAGCCTTCTCGACGTTTCTGGACTAGAGCTCATCTTTGTGCCAGTAGGAAAAAGGCGCATCTACTGCAGAAGTCGGGGCTCTTAAAAGTACCTTGCTAGCGACAGTCTGCGAGATCAGCAGCCCTGCGTTTGTCTGAGCAAGTACGGAAAGTCAGAGGCAGACAGAGTAAAACGCTACTTACCTCCAGCTACACGCTGCTTGTTCCTCGGCTGCCCTCAATACCTGCTTCAGCATCTCAGCCGCATTCCAGCTGGCCACTCTCCTCACTATCCCTAGTGAAGGCTTCGCAGCAGTAAGAAATGAGTACGGCTCTTGCTCTTCCGCCTCTTCAGCTAATA